CCTTTCTTCTTCCCACATTTCTGGTCTTGCAAACCTGATGCCTAAAAAATGAAGCATTGCAAGCTGTAACCTTGCTGGTTTGCCACATCAAGCCGGAGTGGAAACCCAACAGCGCCGGGAGGGGAGCAGGAGTTGTTCCTCCCCACTCTCTGAAACGGGAGCCCAGGCTTTCAGGGTCATCCCCATCGCCCGGAGGGTGGGTGAACGAGGGAGGGAGCGGTGCCCCCTGCCCCTCCAAACGCCCCCTGTGCTCACCTGAGCTGTGGGTGCCGGGCGCTGGCAGTCGCTCGCCCAGCGGAAGGCCGGGAGTGCGGGCGGGGGAGCACTGCCGCTGTCCCCTGCGCACAATGGGGACAGATGTGGGAGGAAGTGATTTGTCTGCTGCTGGACATGGACAGACGCAGATGTCCTGCTTCCTTGGCTGATACCATCACCGCGGGTCAGACTCCTCTCTCTCACTGCCAGCTCCTTCTTGGTTAAAAAGCACAGCTTTTTCTTTTTTATTATTTCCCTCCCCTCTAAGGTGCAATTTATAATTAATTTTAAATGTCCTGCCAGGCTGTTTCAGCTGGGATGGGATCTCCATTGCATGGAACAGCCAGTGTGGCAGCAACCGTGCTGATTTCATGCTGTTACAGCTCCAAAAAAAAGAGAGCAAGATGCAAACTACAGCTGCAAGTAGATGACAAGGATACAATGCTTGGCAGCCAAACTGCTCTCTGCCCTTGTGAATGGAGGTGTCTGTGCATTTTTCCTTCACACTTAAAATAGAAACATATTAATTATCACTGCGTGTTTGTATCGGAGCACCTGCATAGCCCAAGTTTGGCAGCTTCTCCATCTGCTCACCTCCCTGCATCCGGCAGCCTGGGCGCAGGAAGGGAACACCGATCCCATCGGAGGTGGCCTCAGCACCTCTGAGTTTGAAGTCCAAGTGCTGGGATTGTTCATTGATGGCAGATCCTGTGCTGGGGCTTGGCCGGGGGCATTGTCCCAAAACCCCCGAGCATGGGTTGTCTCCCATCGGGCTGTGGCACGGAGACACGGGTGTCACTGCCACTGCAGCTCAGCTGAGGGACACGCGTCTGTGGGGATGGCATGGAGTGAGGCTGACCAGTGTGCAGGTTTGGAGCCTTGCCTGATTCAAAGCGCTCCCCTACACCACCCCAGAGGCTCCAGAGATGCTGGGACAAGGGTTGGGACCCTCCTGGCTCTTCCCCGTTACGGTTGCAGAGATGTCCCTGTTCAATGCTTGGACTAAATGAGCCTGGAGCTGCCGTTATGAGATAAAGTTTTCCTGCTGGCAAAGTTAATGCCGCAACTTCAGTGTTGTGTTACATCCACAGGAGATGCATCTAAACACCCAGTGTCCGTGTGATGCTCCCACAGGCACAGCCTGGCAGCCTCTGACTGCTGGTGAGGTGAAGCCTCGATTTCTCCAAACACCTTTTTGTTGCTAGAAGCAGCATCTCGGCCATCAGGCTACGGGACTTCACTCAGCACCCAGCAAGGATGGGACAGCAGTAATGTCCTATTGTAGACATCTGTGCACAGGGTATGTGCCAGGTACCAGGTGTAGGTTTTCAGCATGGCATGAAGCTGGAGCTCATTTTGGTGTCTCCAACAGTGGCCCAGCAGCAGGGAGGTAGGGAAGGACTTTGGGAATGGTGTTTGACCTGCAGCAACCCAGTTGTGTGACGGGGACTCCAGTGGCAAATGCATGGTTATGTTGTTGGAACAGAAACCTGCATCGCTCGATGGTGGTGGGACAGTGGGGATGGTATCGGGGCTCCTGTGGTGTGTCCACAGCAGGGGCATGGGTGGGAGCTGGGGTAATTAGGTGCTCGATGATGATTACACCAGAAAAGAGGCTTTGCCTGGCGGTATAAAAGGAACTAATGCATTGCCAGGTGATTTAATCTCAATAAATCATTTTAAAATATTCAGCTGTTATTTACATTAAAGCAGCATTTGATGCCTCTGGGCAGAAACACAGAGGAGATTCAATATTTGTTCTACATTAATTGAGCAGACTCAGGTGAGTAAATTTACTTTAATAGGTTTTTTTTTTGCCTAATAATACTAAGCCTAAAAGAGAAGGAAGGAGGGGTTTGCTGGAGCATTCAGAGCTGTCAAAACCTGCTGGTTCCTCACTGTCTGATCGTGTTTTATGGGGCTTAGGGAGAGTTTGGTCTCAGTTGTGTCACAGCCCCTGTCTGCTTTTCCTGACCGTGGTTTAGAACAGGGGTGGCAGTTGGGCACAGTGGCTCCCTAACGAGGGTCTGTGTGCCTTCAGCTGCCGATAGCCATGCACTTTATTTTTAAGCATGTGCTTAATTTCCATTAACTTAATGGCAATACAGGCAGTGTCCCATCACATAAGTCTATTAAAGCAATAACAGGGTAATTAGTGAATGATTTTAGAGCATCAAACTATTCCCAATTTCACCTTGGCCTCTCCTGGCCGGTGGCTCAGCTGTGACCCTGCTCTGTAGCCACAGCAGTGGCCACCACCGTGACCTGGGATCAATTCACTGTGTGGGGAGATGCAGGGGGGAATTTGCAATGCAGTCCTCCAAAATTAAGAGCTAATCCAAGGTGTGCATTGTTCACCGTGAGTAACCATCTCCCCTTTGAGGACCGGGCCTGCAGCCCTCTCCATCGCTCAGCTCTGCCGCCTGCAGACCCAGCGTGAATCACTACAGCAGATTTTGGGCTGTGCCATGGCTGAGGCAGCAGAGAAGTGACTGAAGTGAGCAGCTACGTGTGCACGGCACAGGCAGGGGAGCTGCTCTTTTCTCTCTGGGGCAGCAGCAGCTCCTGGTGTTTCTGCAGCATGGACTTAGCTTGGGCAACGCTGAAACTTGAGACTCGGCCTTTGCCAAGAGATTGCAGCTCTGGAAACTTGTTCTGAGCCACATCTTCACATTTTCAGGTGCCACAGCACCAGATCAGCTCCAGCTCCTGAAAACTTAATACCAGATTATTAAAACAATGCGCTTGGCCCCACTGATGCCCTGCCTGATAATTTCTTATCTTTTGAAGTAGTCAGATTTAGTAATAATGAGAGCAAAGAAAGGTTTGCAGGAGAAACCCCTCAGTGCTGAACCTGCCTTTCAGACACCGTGGAGCGTGTTCACTGTTCAGTATTACCCAGATGTAGCTGCTGCTCCCCTATCCCCTCAGCCAGCCCCAGCCGTGCCCGAGGGCACCACCAGCCCCTCTTTGCCGCCCAGTTCATGGCAGCAGCCCCCCTCAGTTGCCCTCCTGTCTTTGTAGGAGGAGAGGGACAGGCAAGTAGGCGACCGCCGTGATTCACAGGCACAGCTGTGGTTCTGTGGGAATAAAAACCCTCCCCTGCCCACGGGCCGGAAGAAAACCAGAACAGACGTTCTTAGGAAAGGAGGAGCGGGGCAGCCAAGCCAGAGTAAACAAGCTCTGAGCAGGGTGTGGGAAGGGGGAACGTGTGTCGGCCAGCAGACGCTTGCTGGACAGTGATGGGTTTCTCATGTTGTCTTTCTGGCAGTCGCCGAGTTCTTCCTACCTCCAAAAAGCGATCCCACCGATGCTGTGATGATGGCGTCTGTTCTGGTTGCACCCAAACCTGTTTGACTTTTGCTGCTTTAGATTTCAGCTCTATTTGCATCTCTGTGCCGCTGGGGGCTGGAGGGACACATTTGTTTTCTTGGCCATGAAGGCACCCAGTCCGTGGGGCTGGGAAAGGCGTGGAGGCTCTGCACCCCTCAGCACCACATCCGCTTGTCCCTGGGCCACTGCAGAGCTTCTTTGTAATACCCACGAGAGCAGCAGGTGCCCAAGGAGGGCATTTACTTAAAAAAAATCTGTTTTTTTCCACCAGTTATGGTGGGTCAGCAGAGCACAAGCATCGTTTGACTGCACCAGCTACCTGTGGCTGTATGGTTTAACACTGCTGACAGCTTCAGCAGCTGCAGGTCCAGTCTGCGTGGGGCTTCAGATGTCTTGATGGTGCGGATCCTACAGAGTTGGCATGTCACATACAGCAGAGGCCAACACCAGCCCTGGGAGCTGAGCAAAGCTGCCCACATCAGCGCTGTTGATGTACCATGCACAACGTAGGGACATCAAATGGGAGAGCAGAGCCCAGTGTCTCTGGCTCCCAGCTCCACAGCTGGATATGACACTGAGCGGAGACACAAACCCTGACCTGCAGTGCTGCTCAGCAATCCATCATTAGCAGTTGCTCTCAGATGCTGGCTCAGAGAAGTCCTTCAGGCTGTTATCCAGCCACAACAAGCTCCTGTGGGCTGGAGTCTGGCATGTGTAAGCCAGGAACTGCACTGTTTGGGAAACTGGTAGCATCCCCTGTTTCCACACATTTTCCATCTTTGTGTAAAAGGTAGCATAGGAAGGGACATCCACTATGGGACTGCTGCACTCTCTAGTGACAGCCAGCACTGCTGCAGGCATAAGAGCACCCAAGTTGAAGCAAGGTGGCTGTGGTGTAAAGGCTGTAAGCATGTGATGATGCAGGTCAAGTCTTCAGCTCCACATTACAGGGTAGACCTGAGAGCCAGCAGTGTCCCAGCTGTAACAGGTCAGATGTGGCCCAGCAATGTGCCCTGGCATGTCCAGGAGTGGATGCTCAGAGCAAGGGAGTGAGGTGGTGGTTACAGAGCGAGCCTTCCCCCTGTTCATGTCCTCCTGGTAGTTGGTGCTTTAGGCTTATTCAGTAATAAAGCTTTCTTTTTAGGACTCCAAGTCCTATTGAAGGCTGTTTGTGGGGAGGGCTGGTGCTTGGCACCTCTCAGTGAATCACCTCCCCAAATCACTTTGCGGAGGCGTGGACTGCAGATGAGTTTTTTTTTCACCCCTCTGGTGATCACAGAGGTGAGGCTCCCGTGTGGGTGTGGGAGGGGCTTTTGTGGCATTGACCAAAATGCTGATGACTTTGCCTGTGGGGAAGTCAGGAGCGCTCATTGATATAATGGCTCTATCTTGGTTTTGTTCCTGACGTGTAGGTATAACAGCCTGGTGACAGGCAAGCGGGCGAGAGGCCTTATCGCGGTGCTGTGGCTCCTGTCCTTTGGCATTGGACTGACTCCGCTTATGGGCTGGAATAAAGCCATGAGCGGTTGTCCCAACGCCACCAACGAGACGGGGGCTGACAGCAGGATAGAGCACCACGGCTGCTTCATCTCGTGCCTCTTTGAGAACGTGGTGACGATGAGCTACATGGTGTACTTCAACTTCTTCGGCTGCGTGCTGCTTCCGCTCGTTATCATGTTGGGAATCTACATTAAGATATTCATGGTTGCCTGCAAGCAGCTGCATCAGATCGAACTGATGGGCAACTCCAGGACCACCCTGCAGAAGGAGGTCCACGCAGCCAAGTCTCTGGCCATCATCGTAGGACTTTTTGCCTTCTGTTGGCTGCCCCTGCACATCTTGAACTGCATCACTCTCTTCCATGAGGACTTCTCCAAATCCAAGCCTGAGTGGGTGATGTACATGGCCATCATCCTCTCCCATGCCAACTCCGTCATCAATCCCATCATCTATGCCTACAGGATCAGGGACTTCCGCTACACCTTCCGCAAGATCCTCTCCAAGATCCTCTGTAAGACGGACGACTTCCCCAAGTGCGCCACTGACAACAACCAGCACCTGGCTGGGGCCACCATCAACTCTCCAGTAGCCTCCATCACCATATGACCTTTCACGTCCTGCTCCAAGGGTTTGGCAGTCCGGCCCGACACGGCCCTTCCCGGTGCCTATGTGAACAGCTCCAGCTGGCTCCCAGAGATGACCACTATGCAGTTATGCAGCTGTATTTTTTTATTATTATTATTATTTTTGTAATTAACATAGTGCCTCCCAGGGGAATGACCTGACCGGGGAGACCGAGTGCAGCTCACCCACGACTGTAACCCCAGGTTGCGTGTGTGTTGGTGATCATTGTATTTCCTTTCTAGGTCAGACACTGACTGTGGAAGACCAACCCACTGGGGGGTGTTTCCCCAGTTGTGCTGCTCATGTCAAGTACTAGGATCCTTATTTTAATTATTATTACTATTTTTTAACCTTTTGATTCATTTAGGAGTGATAATTTAGTGTCTGTTTGCGAGTTGTTCTTTAAGTCCATACTTGACAGCACTTTGGTAATACCCTAATTATTCCATCAATTGTTTGATGCAGCTAGTATTCTCTGATGGGAAAAAAGTCTTTTACCTAGCCCAGTTGCTGGTGTGAAACTGAATCCGCACTCCAGGCTCTGAGGGACGTGACCGTGTTGATGGGAAAACAAGATCCGAACTGGCCAGCTATTTTTGGCTCCAGTATGGAAGCCCTATTTGTTGAAAGAGAAAAATTTTAGATAGCAGATTCATTGCCTTCAAATCACTTTGATCCACAGGATTGTGCAGACCAATGCTTCAGGTTTGATTTCAAATCTGTTTGCAGATACGAAAATAAGGCAGAAGTGCCCTAATGGTCTCAGCGAGGGTACCACTGAGGGTACTACAAACACTTCCCTGCTGCCACGATCTCTACAATTAGATTTACTTTTTTTTTTTGCTCTCAAGTCAAAACTTGACGCCCTTGCAGTGCTTCCAGAAGTGCAGGTTTTAGCTGTGACAGTTGGATGCTGCAGCTCGTCTGGTTCCTAAACCTTGGTCTTGCTGGGGTTCCTCTGTAGCCCAGTGACCCCCAGAAGCTGTGAGTGGTTTGGTTTTTTTTTCCTATTTGTGATATTTTTTATTTTTTTTTTTAATCCTGACCTGTATCAGTAGCAAAAGAGACTGGAAGGGAGCTGATTTGCTTGAGAAGCTGGAATGCCTTGACCTGTGACCTGGTTTTGGCCAAGCCCCTTGGGGAAGCCGCTCACCTCGCAGACTGTCGAGCCCAGCCCCTGCAGTTGGCCACGGTGTCCTGGCCCTGTGCAAGGACAGAGCCCACTCAGCAGTGGAGCAGTCTTAATTCGTACGGCAAGTTAATAACGCTCTGCAGCCACAGCTCAGTAATTACTGCACCTGGTTTCGTATGTAACTGGGATATGCAAAACCAGACACCGGTAGGGAGAACAGTGCACTCACTCCTGAATTCAGTACCAGGGTGAGGGCACGTGCGCTGCCGTTGGTGCACCGGTGTTTCTGGCACGGCTGTTATTTTGCAGGGCAGTTTCATTCCACAGCTGAGAGGAACAGGGATGGGAGTCAAGAAACCACCAACCAGCAGCCCTGCTTCATGCCCAGAAGCCAACTGTGGTACTGAGGCAGCTGTTCTTACCTGCCATCACCTTGTGGCCCTCTTAAAATGGAGCCTTGCCCAAAGGTCCCTAACGTGGTAAAGTGACACCATCTCTTTCTGAAGCACTCAGTGCCAGCAGCATCTCCATGTGACCAGTGAGAAGCTGGAGTGCAAGGATGTGCATTAAATACGGTTTTTCTGTGCTAAGCTATGCAGTGAGGCAGGGATGGGACCAGGCTTTTTAAGGCCAGGGAAGGGAGTTTAAACACAGCCAGTTCCTGAAGAACAGGGCCAGTGAACAGACTGTGATGCCTGGAGCAGTTTGTCCCTGATAAATTGTACTTGAATCATATAGAAATCAGCTTTCTATGATGTTTTTAACTGCAATGCACTAAAAGGAGGGTGCTGTAAGGACCCCAAGAGTTTCATTTCTCCAGTGTAAATAATAATGCCACCCTGTGCATAGCAGCTCAGCCATAAGATCAAGCCCCAAACCTTGGTGAATCACCATGAAGCTCTGAATGGGTTTGTACGTGTTTATGCAATGTCCAAATTTAGCTCCAGCTCAGTGTCTCAAATACTGGCATTTCCCAGAAGAATCTGAATAGTTAAAGTTACTGTCCCACGTGTTTCTCCTTTAACAGCCCCATTCAGCTTTGCTGCATCTGCCTTGGGTGCAGTCCAGCTAACACATGTAGCCACCTCCTGCCATTTGGGCAGGGTTTGACTCTCTCCTTCTTTCATTCCTTCCCCTCTCTATTATCTTTGGCTGTTTTCCTTCTGTTCATCGTGGCTGGAAACAAGCAGAGTTTCACCTGCAGGTCTGGCAGCGTTGCAAAGTGGTTGCAAGCCACATTTATCCCTACAACAAAGAATGTAATCTCTCCCTTCCCGCTGGCTGAAAATGAACCAAACTCTGGACAGCACAAACAGACTGAGATCCACAGCGCTGCAAGACAGAGAGAACCAGGCCAAGAACACTTGCTCCTATGTGACAGCTTGCACGGCAGCTCGGCATCCACAACCGTTACCTTTCACATGCCTCTTACGACCAGAATTCCTGTAGACGGATGTGGCGTTTCCTTAGTACGACTGTGCCATCGGGTTGTTAGCCATTATTAGCTATGGCCTGGGTCACCGCGGTCTTTAGGCACATTAAGTGTCTTCATGGATCTGAGCCAAAGTAATTTCAAGGCAAATTAAAGAAATATAGGACACCTCCCTCACACCCCTCAAAAAAAAAAAGCTCTGAAGGTTTCTATAAAAATGTGAAGTGAAAATGGCAGAGGAACTTTCTGTAGCAAGTGTGGCTGTAGCTGTTCAGCTGTCACTCATTACTGCTCTGATGTACATAGGATGGATGTGTTCTCCTCGTGTTGCTCAGATTTTGTATTTGCAGTAACTGTTATTTACATACAGAATGCTTAATTTACCACCTACACAACCTGGCTCAGCCTGTGCCCCATTATTTCTTGTGGTTTTGTGCTCAGTGTATCATATAAGGCCACGCTGTGCTCAAGGAGGAGCCCAGTCTTGGAACACGGGCAGGGAGTCACACAGCTGGAGGAAGCTGGTTCCCAGCTCAACTGCTGCTGTGTGGAAAGGGGAGCAGCAGGGTCCTTTCCCCCATGTCTGATGGGGACAGCCTTGCCTTGCCTGCCAGCATGAGGTGGCCAACTGGTCTTAAATGGGCCAATTTAAAAGCACAGCAACCAGAGTGAGGCTTCCAAAGATCCTGTATTATAAGCACAGCGGAAGCACAACCTGTCATCGAGGTGCTGAGTGGTTCCCTGGTCTAGGTTTGCCAGTGCTGAATCAGGAATTGGTCCAAGCAGCCAGCTGCAAAGAGCCATCGCAGCGTCACTGTCAGAGGCCAACTCCACAAAGCCACACGGGCACTGGAAGGGCGCTGGGGTCAGTGAAAACATGAGCAGAGTTAACAAGGTTTAATGGATCACTAAGACACCTGCTGGACTGTTCATATTCCCATCACAAGCATACAGTGCTACAGATCAGTTTGAACATCTTCAGCAATCCCACGAATAGCCTAAATAAATGAACGTGAAGTTAACACAGGCTTCTTAATATTTATTAATTAATCCATCAGTGCAAGGTTGCTCATTAATGTCACGCTTGGCTGCTGCACAGGAAGAAACCTACCAGCCCTGAGGAACATCTGACAGCCTTGTAGGTACAAAAAACGCCAGCTACACAGCTGAGAAGGTAGACAGCAAGTACATCCACGTGTGATCCAAATCCTTCATCCTTCATCCTCTTCCTCAGCCAGTAAGATGCTTGTGAGTTGCTCCTCAGAGACAGTTAGCTCCTGGCAGGCTCCCATGGCCTGGCTGAGGTAGACGGCAAGTATATGTTTGCACTGCAAATAACAGCACAGCCAAGTTAACAGCAGGAGCAATGCAGGGATGTCATGCTCTATCTGGAAGTCACAAAAATTCACCCTGGCCAGAATGGGTCTAATGAAGGGCTCACCCCTCCCAGGAACATGGTTCTCTCTTGGCTGGCCAAGCCCTGGCACAGGCTCCAGTTGCCCCAGGTCAGCTCTGTCATCAGGGTAATGTAATACAGGGATCTAACACACAGCAAAGTGTAACTGGCTCTTGATTCCCTCCCCACAATTGCATACCAGTTGGTTACCCATAGGCCTTCCTCACTGGCACCAGGTGACCTGCACCACTTCGTTGGCCAGGCTCCATGTGGCAGTCCCATTAGTGGCAGCAGCCCTTGTTCCAAGACACCAAGGATTATTCATCTATTCAAATTCAGAACACTAATGTGTAACTATTCTAGGTCTTGTAAGGCCTAGCTCCACCCAAATACCATGACTCCCAGAGGCCAGATTAAGCAGCGTGTCAGGCACAGCCTGCGTGGCCAACTCAGCGCTCGTGTGTTTGCTCCCTTGGAAACTTCAGGCTGCTCCGGTTCAAGGAGTAGGGCGCAGGCTTCTTGCCCGCTCCCTGTCCCGGCCCCAGGTTAAAGCAGACAGCTTACCAGAAGACTCTCGCTCTTCTGCAATACAGTAAAACCAAAAGCAGGACATGTGCAGAAATGGCATGAACTGTAGCAGGTATAGAGTTTGCCTGAGCTCCCAAGGACCTGAAACAAAGGCAGTCAGAGGGAGTGGGAGTCAGAGACAGCATTCACTTTTAATTTCTATAATGCTTAGCCTGTATCTGGCCCGATGTCCTCTCCACAGTCATGCACAGCATCCAACAGGTGAGCAAGTGCCACAATAGAAAAGCATCCCCAAACACTGCATTGACCCATCTAAGCTTGAAGCTCTTCAGCTTTCTCATGGCCTCCACACATAGACCCAGCAGTCCTCAGCTCCACGGACTTGTCTGCTGCTACAAGATCAGGAAAAGGGCAGGAGCACAGAGCTCCCTCCCCTCATCTCCCAAAGCACAACGAGCTGCCAGCCCCTTCAGCAAGTTCACTCTCCCAGTACT